AAAGGTTCTACATTTTATTACTGGAGAAACCACTCCCAACTTAAACATGATCAAGTCTCCAGATTGAAAATGTTGAACTTCATCTTGTAACACTCATCAAGGATCACGATTCATCATGAATTGTTTTGTCATTCATTGTTGACTCCTTACAGACCCAGCTTCGTTCTCCTCCAGTGTCTTCTCTTGGAGTTGTACCTGATTTTGTTGCCAGTTTTCATCCGAATCCACTGAGGAATAGGACGATTTTGCTTTTGTTTCTTAGCCAGGAATCGCTTGATTCTGAAAGTCTTGTGAGAAGACATGGTGAGAAGGCCTAGGGCAGGTGGCGAACGATGGCGAAGGAAAGGCGAAGAGAAGGCTCCGACCGGCAGGACCGGGGTTCTTAACTACTAACACATTTCTCCAGTCCCATACACCTAGAGCTTTTACAGATGTAAAATGAAGTTAGTCACATAAATCATCTCAAAAGATTGTCATAAGTGTTTGGTGTTATGACAATATGTGTCCCTTACTAGCAGAGAACCGTTGAGGGTAGGAGTCAGTGAAGAGTACACTTATTGCCTCTTTCCCAAGGAGTCCTAGAGGGGCCTTACCCAAACACTCTGGAAGGATTAATAAACACTGGCTTCTGGGAAAGTCTGACAGTGGGAGATGTAAGTATAGATACATGAAAAATAGCCATGTCCATATGTGCCTTATAGGATCGTTGTAAGAATCAAATTAAAGGGGTCGACATGTGCTGACCAAAGGCACTGTGGCCAGCACACATGATCACAAGACGAGATATAATTCTAATCATATACATGATGGTGGTGATGTTCTTAAAGGTACCTGTGGGCATTTTCATCAGATTTGTCTTGCTATTGTGTTTGTGATTTTAAAAAATTTTATGTCGAGGCCAGCCTGGTCTACAAGGGCTAGTTCCAGGACAGGAACCAAAAGCTACAGAGAAACCCTGTCTCGAAAATCAAAAAAAAAAAAAATTTATGGCCATTAGTTACCAGGCCTGACTATAATGAGCTGTAACTGTAATGTTTTATATAAAAATATTTTAAATTAAAAAATCTTGCTTACATTAAGTATAGTATCATTTTGGAGGATACATTTAAAATCCCACTTCAGTTTCAGCTAAAGTTTGAAACACTTGTCGTGTGGCCAATTGCTGCTCAAGACTTTATAGCTGACACTGCTTGTTTAAATCAGATTTTGCCTTTCAACCTATTTTTAACTTTTAAGATTGAAAAAATTTGAGTGCATTTGTCCACATATGTGCATTGGTGCACATACATATGTGCATGTGTGTAAAGGCCAGAGGTTGCCACTAAGTGTCTTCCTCCATTGTTTCTCCACTTTATGCTTGTTGGTTGGTTGGTTAGTTTTTTTTTAAGATTTTATTTATTACATATACAATACAGTGTTCTGCCGCCATGTATGCCTGCGGTTGGTTAGTTTTTGAGACAAGATTTCTCTGTGTAGCTTTGGAATCTATCCTAGAATTTACTCTGTAGACCAGGCTGGCCTCGAACTCACAGAGATCCACCTGCCTCTGCCTCCTGAGTGCTGGGATTAAAGGTGTACGCTCCCACTGCCCAGCCATTTTGTGTTTTGAAACAGGGTCTCTCTGAAACTGAAGCTCACTAACTTGGCTTGACTAGCTGTCCAACAAGTTCCAGGGCCCTTCTGTGTGCATTCTCAGCATTGAAATTACAAGTATACACCACACACCTGCTTTTTATATGGGTGTTTGGGATTGAATTCAAGTTCTTATATGTATGTAGAAAGTATTTTACTGACTGAGCCCAGTAACTCCAGCCCCAGAGGGTCACCACTGGCTCCTGCCCTCACAGCCCTGATCTTTGCTTTTGTTTTGAGACAGGGTCTCACTCGGTAGCCTAGGTTGCCTTGAATTCATGAACCTCCTGCTTCTGCCCCCCCAAGTGCTGAGATTTCAGGTGTGGACCATCATGCATGTCTGTTGAAATTTAATGTAAAATATCCTCAGGTGACACTCTCAAGAAGTTTCATTGTGCATGGTCACTGGAGTCTCATTTTTAACACCCACTGACCATGTGAAAGAGTCAAGAAACAGAGAAGTTTTGGAGAAGGCTCCTGACTTTTCAGTTCAGAGTTAGGTGTAAGCTCTGGAAGAGAACAAGCTGGCCACTGGACAGCTAAGCTCTGTATTGTTCTGTGAGCCCAGTTCCTGTTCCCCGAGGCTATTCCGGGTTGGACTGACCTTCTGAACTGGGTTTCTTTTCAGATGGGTGTATTTTTCCTTATTGCAGATTTCCTCCCATTCATCAGCAGAAATTATAGCCACTTTTCTGGGAGCTTATGACCCTGGTTTGGATGGCTTATGAGCCTGCCTTCCAATAAACCCCTTTTCAGTTTCTTCATGACACTGCTTCTCCTCCTGTGGTCCTGTTTTAGCTTTCTGTCACCGTTTTCTGTCCTCTCCCACTGAGAACCACTTCCTTTGGGTCACTGTGTTCTCTTATAGGGAAATCAAAACAAACGAAACAAAATAAACAAACATGCGGAGGCGTTTGCCTTACCATTCACTAACAATTCTTCTGAACCGTGGGGACTGCCATGATGTTTTATACAATCTACACTGCAATGTGGGTAAATTTTGTTTCTTTGAGCTGAGTCTCATGAAGACCATGCTGATCTCGAACTCCTGATCTTCTGTTCTTCACGTCCTAAGTGTGGGGACTACAGGTATTCGTGAGCACACCCAGATTTTTACCAGTGGTAATTTGTGGCAGGCCTCTTATAAATGAAACTGTCTGCTACCTTAGACAAGTAATTTCTCTCTGGATTCCCTTATCCACAATGTTTAATCACTCATTTATGTTTTATCTAAGGTCAATTATATAAATGCAAACACTTGTACAATCAATTAGACATGAAAAGCATGATTTAAAGTAGAGAAACAAGATTCAAGTTGGGTGTGGTGGTACATGCCTTTAGCCCCAGCACTACAGGCAAATCTATATGAGTTTGAGGTCAGCCTGGTCTATAGAGGGAGTTCCAGGACAGCCCGGACTACACAGAGAAACCCTATCTCAAAAATCCAAAATAAATAAATAAATGAAGAAGAAGAAGAAGAAGAAGAAGAAGA